AAAATTGTCTATCTTTTTTTTAAACTTTATTTCAGAAGTCTTCTTGCCTGTAGAACAGTGCTAAATATAAACCATTTCTCTGGAGGCTTATTTGATTGGTTCTTTAGTGACCTATCCTATTTGCGTTGAGAAGAAACTTTGTTTCTGTGTGGTATGGGAAAGCACATGCACCAACTAACCCGTGAGTAAGGAGTGTTATGTACATGTACCAACTTCCCATAATGAATGTAATTATTATATATGGTAAACATGTACTAATAAAAAAGTAACTGTCAAAGGCAAAAACTAGGTGAAAGAAGGAGCACAGAGAAGTAAGCAGAGTACTGAATTCAGGTTTCATCTTGAAGATATTGCTGAACCAGCTGGGACACTGGGCTAAAGGGTGCAGTAGACAGAAGACAAAGACCGTGGGTCATCAGAGGCAGGATATTTATAGAAGGGCTCCGTTAATGTCGGGATATTAAAAAATTAGATTCTCAGGGCAAGGGTAGAGTAAAATAATTTTCCTTCTAAGTGTTCTCTTAGGACCTACAAGGACAATTGCTCTGGAATCTTGATAATACGAAAAGAAAAAGTCTCTGATAATTCACAAACAAAAAACAGTATTTGCAAGTATTTGTAGCATTACACGGCTGGTGTGAAAAACTTCAAGACAAGTATGGTTCAAGATTGTAATGGCACAAGGTATCTGGTAGAAGCAACCACAAATCCTCTTTGGAGAGCAACTATGAGGAAAACTATGAAGTGGGAAATAAACATAAATATACTAATCAGAATGTAATACAGCAGGGATGGAGGTAGCAAATGAAAAAGTTGTGGAGGATAAGATGAGAAAATTTAACACTGATCCTTTCAGAGTTACAAAGCAATAAGGCAGCAAGATTAGGGAAGAGGCAGTATCTAAAAAAATGGTTTAAAGAAATGATGAAAGACAGGGATAATGAAATGCAGGATAAATGTGAAGAAACCCACATGTATCACAGTGAAGCTGCAGGACACCAAAGGCAAGAGAAAACTCTTTATCCCACTCATAGAACAAAGGCAGATTACTTTAAAAGAAAGATAGGGAGGCAGCAGAATTCTTCCTCAAAAGCAACAATGGAAATCAGGATTGGATGGAATAATACAACATAGTCACAATTTTGAAAGAGAATAACTGTCAATCTAGAACCCTAAAACCAGCAAAAATATTTTTTAAGGTAAGCATGTTCCCAACAGACCCTAACAAAAGAACATTTTAGGGTGTAAAGAAAAGCAATTATCATGTAAAAGAATGCAAATAAATCTGTAGAAAATAGACCTACATAAGGTAATAAAAATAGTGTTTCATAAAATTTATTAAATTACAGAATTCAATCAAAATACAATTAAAATAATAGTTGCAAGAGCTCTCAATATAAATTAGGAGGCAAGTGCTTAAAGTAATCTAAGGATGGGGATAAAGACTTTTCTATGGTTATGTGCCAGAGGAAGATAATAAAATAAAATGAATATAAAATTTCTAATCTTAAAATCAGAAATAATGGGATGAGAAAAAGAAGACCAATCTTAAGGAACAAAAGAAAGAAAAAAGAACACATTTGTGGTGCAAAAGCATCATGCTGATAAACCCGGGTAATTTACTATTTATGTAAATGGAAATACAATAAATGTCCTATTTAAAAGTAAAAGACCTTCTAACTCTCTGCCATTTAAACAGACACATATGAAACATAGGGATACTTTCAAGAGAAAGGCTAAAAGGAAAAGGAAAAAAAATACTGTGATTCTTAGCCCATAATTTTCTTTAAGGAAAAACTGCCAAAAATATACTTGTAATTTAACAGACACTTTAGGACATTTAAAGTATCTGGCATTATAAGTACTGGATTACAGGCTTAGAACTACAAGCTGCCTAAATTTGTTATTTCTTTGATGCTTTACTGTATGTATCATTTAGAACTTAAAGCTGTCAACATAGCTTCAGAGCAATCAAAACCATGGGTGGTGTTTATAAGGCGATAATTAATTCTATTGGTATATTTACAATATATCTTTCTGTCAAAACAGACTTATTTAATTTAATTGTTCAATTAGATAAATGGGAGTCAATATGTAATTGCTTAAAGAAAGCACAAAGTGTTAAAGAGAGAAGGTTTAAAAGCTGCTTTTTCTAGTGTGGAACTCAATATTCCTTTTGGGTTTGCTTGTTAGAGATGATTTAAATGATCTTTTTGACTTTATGCTGTTTCACATTTAGCTGGAGCTGCTGTAATACACATCCACATAAACCCCACCCACATATAAAGAAAAAATTCCAGTTAAATTCTTAACTGTGATAAAAATGCTTGAGCATTTTCATCAGAGGTTTTTCTTAGCAATTTCATAATTATAAATTGACTGAATGGATAGAAAAATTCTGAATTGAAGAGAAGGTGAAGGTCAACGGGCAGACCTGGAATGGGAGAGTGAACTTGAGGTGGAAAATATACTTATACTAAATAGGACCTTGTGAATATTTGTATAGACAAAAACTCATTTTTCACTTTTGGTACATTCTTGAGAACTACATCCCTAAGCCTGGCAAATCAACAATTCAAGAATCTATTGCTATAGATACCACACAATGCTTCCACAACATTAATAAAGGACTATAAGTTATTTTGAGATGCAACTATTGAGTGATCAGGTAGGAAACCCACTGGCAAAGTTTCACACTGGCCTGAAAGCTTATGACATAAAAATTCATGCCTCAGTACAATTACAAAACATGGACAGAAAAGGGGTTAATAGAAAATGGCAAAATCTGTAAATATAAATTCTATGAATTTCAGGTTTCTACTCACTTATCCACTCATATAAGTTGAAGAATGTGGAAAATGTGATTGTAATTAAGAACAATTCTATATGAAATTTACTGTCAGAAGATGCTACTAATTTTGCATTTAACTTCCTGAAATGTTAGCAAAAAATACTGATAAAGATACACTCCAGATATACAAATTGATCTTTACTATGAGCAGAACATTAATTTTTGCCTTACAGTATAGTACATATCATCTCTGTTTAGGAATTGACTTGAATTACCCATGCATAATCCAACATTTATATCTCTGGTCACAAATGAATTTTCGGTATTCATATTTAGGTCCAGGTACTCATTGGTTGTTAGGGTCTTAATTACAATAATCCATATTTTCTGAAGAAAATTATTTTTCCCTCTAAATGGTCTGCTAATGTTCAGGCTTTCACTAGCCTGATACACTATATTTTGTAGTATCTATTAGTCTCCTCCTGCCTTTTCACCTTACTGGTGAGACTGTCTCACTGAGCAGAGGGAGAGAATGTAAGGATGGAGAAGTTAGTGTGGGCAATGGTGGGTTAGGGAGCTTTTCGGAAATTGTACCTAGTGTTTGCTTTAATTAGCTGTGGAAGACAGCAGACACAGCAACGATCATCATGAGTGATGTCTTATGCTCCCCAGGATGAGAAGACGTGGCCTGCCACCCAGGGTCACATAGGGAAGCATCCCGGTCAATCAGGACACCCAAAAATGGCCAGGGCAGGGCATAAACCTTTAACACTTGGTGGTTTTGCGGGAAGGAATGGGTGAGGCAGGGGTAGGCACACTGAGTAACACGAGGATGGGACAGTTTAACAGTTTCTGCAGGCTCTGAGCTAGAAGGCTGGTTCCTAGTTGTGGAATACTTAGCCCTGGGGTGATGGAGGGCAGGAGGACTACTGACTTGGTGTGTGAGAGTTTCATACAGGAGAAGGTTAGGTAGGGTATGAGCTTTGGATTGGTTGCTTTGTGTATCAAAGGGGCTCACTCAGGAGTCATTTGCTTCCTCTAGGAATTGACTAGCCCTCTGATGAGGGGCACCCTCTCCAGTTCTCCAGGATTAAGGTTCCAAATGTCAGAACATTAAGAATGTAGAAAATAAGAAGATACAATCAATGCTACAGTTTTATCTCTGTCATTAGGCTGCATCGTTCTATGAATCACCTTTAAAAGTCATTTGGATTTTTAAAAATTAACAGAGCTGCTAGAAATTAACCATATAGATGAGAATCACAGTGTTGACCTTGGCAACATATTGACAGTTTATGTTCCCAAAGCAAAGTTCTCACAAAGGTGAAAAGAAAACAGAGTGGCTGACACAAGTGACTATTTATTAGTAAAATTTTTAAGGAAAAAACAAAGAGGAGAAACATGTATTACTCATTTAATAGTTACTGTTTTTTCTCAGTAACTAGCATAAGAATCCTTTTCACTGGGATGAATTTGAAAGTTGCCAAAAGATAATTAAGGCAATCAAATAATTATTTTCATGTTTTTAGGTGAAAGTGCACTTGGTTTTCCTACAGTCATTTAAAAAGTTGCCTCTAATACTTTAAGGAACTACATTTTGCCACTAATTTTCCAGTCTAAAGGCATTTAAGACCCATCTTCCCATCCAGATAACTTAAAATGAATGGCACTGCTCTGACAGAGACAACCACACTGATACGGGGCTAACAAAAGGTGTACCATCTCATTTCTCTGACCCTTTCTTTTTTGTCAGGAAGAAGTGGTTGCACTGGGTATTCTCAAGGGGTTTCATCTAACCGTAGTATTATAATACACACACACACACACACACACACACACACACTTTTTACTGTATCCTGATGGACTATTGCCTATAGATATTTTTGAGTGGGTATAAATTAGGCTTGATTTTGAAAGTTGAGTCCTACAGGATTTATTTTGCCTTACTCTATGTAGAACACACATTTTGTGGATACAAATGACTTTTACATACTTAATACAACTATATTAAAAGGATATATTGGAACTTAGAAGTGTAACTGGCCGACCATATAGTGTGTAACCATCCATTCAGTTTGTAACCTTATGCTTCATGAAGGAAATGTATGCTCTTCACCAATGTTTCTCATTTGGAGAACAAATTTGTACTCCCCACCCCACAGGTCAAGGAAGGTGATAAAGATGGGTTCCAAAAATAACCTAGTCATACCTTGGAGGTATCATCGCCTTCATCTTCATGCACTGAACTGGATGGTGAAGGAGTTGCAGACTTGCTCCCAGGGGGTGAGGGGGAGTTGTGAGGCACGTTGCTTCCTCCCATATTCAAGCCCAGCTGGGCACTCAGCTGGGACTGGTTGATGGTGGTCAGCTGCCCATGCTGCATCATCCCTGCCTGCTGCCTGATGTCTGCAGGCTGGCCCCGGGGTCTCAGGGCTGCCATCTGAGGGTGGGAGCTATACTGAGTTCCTTCTGGGTTCCGTATATCTTGCATCTGCAATAAATAAATATAGAAACAAATGAATTTTTAAAAACATGCTCCTGGCAAAAAATTCTGTAGACTCTAGCATGTCCTAATGAGCTATACACACATTAATTTTCACTTGGGAATAATAATTCTCACAATATATATTACCTTAAAGAATTGCCAAAGATGGGGATAGCAATGTAGTTCAGTGGTAGGGTATTTTCCTGGCATGTATAAAGCCCTAGTGTAAACATCATATTGTTCAATACTGATTCATTGTTTGTTTGTTTTTGTTTTTTGGTACTGGGAATCGAACTCAGGACCTTGCGCTTGCGAGGCAGACACTGGAACCACTGGGCTAAATCCCTGACCAATACTGATTCATTGTATTTATAACATTTCTGTACTAATGACATGTACACATATATCTTATATATACATATATATTTATATATAATGTAGTATATCTACATGATTTCAGTTTCGAAATTTAGTGTTTATTATATGGCTAAAGTATACAGTTCTTTGTGATTACAACCATTCACTAAACCCTACTTTTATTTTGAGTATTTAAGAAAAGTTTGAGAAGTTAATAAGTGTACTATTGTTTTCAAATCTAATTCTTTATAGGATAGTACTGAACAAAATGATCTCCAAACTCCTGGACTCAGAAGGTTTAGACTGGTATTAACCAATTGATTAATTGACTATTGAAAAGATTTGGACTGGATGGTCAGATTTGAAAGTAAAGCTCTAAAACTGCAAGGTCACCATATTAATCCATTATGCTATCTGGGTCACTGCTTTTTAGCCTTAATGAGACTCGCTCTTGTAATTCAAGCAATGAATTTTGTCTCAGCAAGGATTAGAATTAAAAGCATTGGAGGATGAAGCGCTTAGTGTTATCTAGAGGTCAAATGGCTTGTGTAAGAGGAGTATGGTGGATTTCACTTAACATTTCTGCAGTATTTTCAAACTTGAAATAATGGAGACTATTTCGTGCTTGTAGACACAGCTGAGTTTTTCATGCTGAGGGGGCTTAGGGAATTCAGGTAGTTAGAGAATAAGTCAGGAGAGAGGGAGAAGGAGAGGGTCAGAGGGGGAGAAGGAGAGGGTCAGAGGGAGACAAGGAGAGAGGGAGAGGAAGAGAGAGAGGGAGAGGGAGACTGGGAAAAGAGAGGGGAAGCAAAGTAAAGCATTGTTAAAGTTACATGTTGGAACTGAAAGATCAAGTTAATAATGTTATCTTACTCTTCCATAAACAAGTCCCACATAGTGTGAGGTGCTCAGTAGTTACCTGTCGGCAAATGTAATTGTGACATGGAAACAGTGTGAAAGTTAAGTAACTTAGTCATAGAATTTTTTTCATACGATAATAAAATTATTCTCTGCAAATGGTCTCCCGTCATTTCACCAGTCTGGTGAAATCCATATGAAACTGAAATTGTGGCTGTGCAGGGCCCGGGGCCTGCCCTGTACTCACTCTCTGTAACAGGTTTACTGTCTCCACCCTATTGGGCCATCCCTAGCTCCAGTTCTTGCTCCATCTTCAGACTGTTCTAGGTATCCTAGATTTCTGACTCTTCTTGGAGAAGCTTCAGCTAGATACAACTTGATAGTTGTATATGTTGCTTTCCTATCCCAAGCCAAGGTATTTTCAATTGTTCAAACTGTGTTCCTCTAATCCTTCAAAAATAGCTCAAAATCCTCCTTTCCATGAAGTCCCTCATTGGGTAGTTTTTGCTTTCTGATGCCATATTTTAGAGCTTCAAGGGCTCTCAGGGACACTCACTTTATGGGAAAGGGAACTCAGTAGGGGGAGTACAAAGTAATGTTTCTGAATATTCGTTGAAAAAATATATATAAATAGAATATAAACAAATGAATGAAAGAGTAAACTCCAGAGAGGTTAAATGATTTGATCTACTCTTTTTTTTTTTTTTTTTTTTTTTTTTTAGAAGACGGCATTGAACTTAGGAGTATGCACTTGAAGTTCAGACGTGTGAACCACTGAGCTAAATCTCCAGCGCTAAGTGATTTGATCTAAACCAGAGTTGGGGTTAAAATCTGCATCTTCCAATTCCAGTCTTTTATACTGCTCACTGTATTAAGCAACTGATTCAAAATTTTATGTATCCTATTGTGAGAGTTATAGTCAATTAAATATTATTAAACTTTTTCCAAATGTTGTTTACCAAACTCAACCATTGTTTTTCTTTCTAGTTCATTCATATTGTCTCCATTCACCTTTACTAAGAGTTTTTATGTCTCCTTAGATGTTCACATAACTTGCACAAATCTGATCTTCCTTATGACGTAGCATTTGCAGATTTGACCTAGCTTTTGCCATTGACACAAGGTACCACACAAATCAGAATCTCAGCAATTTGGGAGCCTGAGACAAGAGGATTGCAAGCTTGAGCCTGGGTAGCAAGACTCCATCTCAGCATATAAAATAGAAAAGGGTTAGGGATGTAGCTCAGTGTAAAGGCCCAGGGTCCAATCCCCAATACTACCTTAAAAAAAAAAAAAGCAAGACTGACTTTTTAAAGCCCACGGAAGAGTAAGGCTACAGTAAGTATTTTTCCAGGCTTACTCTCAATGTTGTAAAGTGCTACATTTTTTTCTTAGATTATTAGCAGGTAGAATAGCTTTTATGATGGGCACAGAATAATGGCAGTCTACAAATGAACACGATCTTGTACAGCGTAGTCCCTCTGTCCCAACCTGGAATCAAATAAAGCACTCATGTTCAAATTTAAACTTATATATTTATAGAATACATTTCACAGCCTTGTGAATTAAAAGTATCCACCAGCAAAATCACACATTAACTAAATTATCTAAAACATTTAATATTTGATATCTTAATTTCTCTTTCACATAAATCTCAAGTTACAAAGCATGAACAGTCTGTCCAATATCTGTTTTGAGCCCACTTCACCTCATCTTCTCAGAAGTCTCTTAATTTTAACATGATATAATGGGGGATGATTTCCAAATTGATTTTCATATAGAGTTTCCAGATTGATGACAACAACAAAGAGCGTTCCTTCCAAAGGTTTGAAGGAATATCATTTTATAGCACCTGTTTCTTCCACTGTTTTGCAGTCTTCTAAATGGTTTCCTTTTGTTAACTTGTGTTGTGGGTAAGACCCCTAAGGACTAAAATCTGCATTCCTGCCACTGTACTGAAGAGAAGGAGATGTGGCTGTGGAGGGGCAAAGAATCAGTATAGTAAATGATGGTGATGTGTTCAGGACTGAACCTGCTTTCTGCAGATTCATCATTAATTCAAAATATTGTATCACCAAAGGTGTTAAGTCAGGCAGACAGTAGCTTTAACATCACATCAGAGGACTCTTTTCCTGGGAAGTGAGGCAAGCATAAAGGATACTTGTCAAAGATAGAGAGCACCTCCAGCTTTCCAGCCCTCAGATACTTTATAAAGTGGGATCTTTCACACCCCTGGTGACATTTCTGAATCTGAAGTATTTTCATTTAACCTTGCCCATAGAAGCCTCATCAGCATGTTTAATACTTGCATGGGGAAAATTAAAAGAGATGAACTCTGGTTACTGAAAAATAAGAATAGTCATTCAAGTAAGCCAATGTTACAATTACTGGTTTCTTTCCAGAAAGGTACTGATTGACTATAGCTCCCTAATGTCAAATATAAAATTTGAATTTGCAAGATGTTATTTCCTATTATCCCCAATATTTTAAGGGTATTGTTAATAATCCACTTAAGTCACTCTTCATGGCGACAGTTGTTTTTTCTGATTATTCCTTCCTTCTACAACTTTCCACACTGAAAGATTCCTAACATTTTGTTCTCAGTCACCTTTCTTCCACCCAGCTGAGATTCACTGTGGACCTATAAATGGGGCATGCACTAAAAGAAAATGTACAGTTCTGGCCCAATCTCAAGACCTAATTCTTCAACAGCCTGTTAGACATTGCTACTTGGACCTCACTCCTGCTGGAAATGTAAACCAAGTTTTTATTTTCAAATCATTTTTTCTACATGACTAATATGTGTTGATGGCACCTATAGCCTCCTTGTCATCTCTACTCAAAGCATTCCAGTCATTTTTGAGTGTTTGCTTTTCTGCACAAGTCTTGTGAGTTCTGTTGAGTCTACTCTAAAATATCACTTTTCCATTTGCTACTCTTATTTCAGGCCTTAATAGCTGCTTAGCTAAAAACAACCTTTACACATTTACTCTGAAGACTCACAAAATTCATCTTCATGAGCTATGGACTCAAAACCTTTCCAATGATATCTGCCTACCAAATTAAATCTAACTCTTCAGCATGACATTAAAGTTTCCAAACAAAACTTCTTCATGCATGCTATTGTACAGCCAAACCCAATTAACTGCTCTTTTTGCCTAGGTCTCTCACCCTTGATCATATTTCTTTTGCTTGTGCTTGTCTTTCATTGCTCAATAACTGCCTTTTGAGCATTTGCAGCCTGAAATTTTTAAAAGAAGGAAAAACTCATACTTTGCTCAGCAATTTGTGATTGTTGATACTTTTACTTATTGAGCCTTACAATTTTCCTTTGATGTAGCCATCCAGGCAGTTGTTTTACACAAGTCTATAAGAAGAGGAAAGATTAAATGCTCTCCAATATATCCAGTGACAAAGGTTGAAGTAGAAGTGAAATACCCTTATTTTACATGTGCCTTTTTTTTTTTTTTTTTTTTTTTTTTACCATTTCATGATGCCATAACTATCTTGGCATATGAAAAATCTCTCTATATATTTTAGAGTCAAGTTCAAAAGTCAGCTATTTCACACAGCTCCGAGAAACTTCTTATTCTGAATTGCCAAAGCATTTTCTTTATGAGCTGTTGCTTTTAAATTTCTGTCTAATGTACATGCACATCTTCAACCATCATTGCCAAGATAAGCCCACGATAAAGGCATTTTTCAATCACTTCTTAGTTCAATGGCATTCTAAGTACTCAAAAATATTTGCTGTGTCAGAGTATAACTGAAGGAATGAATATTATCAGGAT